CCTTGTGAAAGAGCTGTTCGACTCCCAGAGGGGTCACAACCCATAGGTTGAAAACCACTGCGTTTGACTTATATTACTGTGTAATCCCTAAGAATATTTTCCTAATGTTTTTAGGCAGGACTTTCTTGTGCTCATCTTGCCTAATGAACTTGCAAGCATGCATTAATTTTGTGAAAGCAATGCCTGGTAATTTATAGTCTTCCACAGTTGTCAAGTATGATATTTAAGGATTCTGTAGGTTTCTAATGATCTCTGGTGGCACAGGGGATTAAGCAGTAGGCTAACTACAAAGTCAGCAGTTAGAATCTAGTAGCTGCTCTGCTAAAGAAAGATGAGACTTTCTGCTGCAGTGGAGATGTGCGCCCTTGGAGACCCAAAAAGGCAGTTCTGTTCTGTCCCGTGCAGTCGCTACGAGTTGGAATTGCCTCACTGGCAACGAGTGTAGGTTTCTAAGCAGTTATTTACTTGAACTTTATAATATTCATAGTAGAAGTTGTATCACCTGGTTACAAGCATCATTTATTTTAAACACAAGTGATAGAATGTATGTAATAAGTGTGCACATTTCTGAGTATTTATTTACTTAGTTAGTTTTGGGACTTTGCTTATATGAGGGAACATCAAAAGATTTATGGAAAGTTTCTATTATCTTTTAATTCTGTTTTTCCATGAACGTTTTGAAGTTAAGGTTTAGGTTAAGTATGAAGAAAATATAATATGACAAGAGTTAAACATATCCGATAAGTATATTACTACTTCATTTGTAACAGGAGCTCTGGTGATGTAGTGGGTTACACATTGGGCTGCTAACCACAATGTCAGCAGTTCAAACCCACCACCCCTTCCTTGGGAGACAGAGAGGAGACTTTCTGCTCTCATGAAGATGTACAGCCTCAGAAACTCAAAGGAGCAGTTCTGCTCTCTCCTAGAATCTTTTAGGGTGGCTCTGAGTTGGCATCCAATCAATGGCAGTGAGTTTTGCTGTGTTATTTATAACTATAAAAATTGTATATGGTTAGTTAAGTAAAAGCAGTCATTCTAATATTTGCTTGTTTTATTTATATTTCTTAACATAGATTCTCAATGCTAGTTACATATCAGAATCACTTGGAGAAATTAAAAAAACACACACTTAATTTTGGCTCCATTTCCAGGTCGTTTGGATTAGCATCACTGGCGGTAGAGTACAAATATGGGTATTTCATCATGCTCGCAGGTGACTGATATGCAGCTAGGAGTCGGACCACTGGCCGAACTGCAGAATTGGTTTTTATAACCTTTGATCTCCATCTATAAAATAGACTTACCCCAAACTAAGCACAGTGCTGTCGATTCTGACTCAGAGCAGCCGTCCAGGTCAGAGTAGATGGGCTCCATCGGCTTTTCTGGGACTAAAGATCTTTATGCTTCCTGGAGCAGGCGGCTTCACTTGCTTCATGGAAGTGGCACGTGGGTTTGAGCCTCCCACCTTGTGGTTAGTAGCCCAGTGCTGACCCCATTGGATCACCTGGCCTCCTTAGCCCTGGCTTAAACAGCAAACCAAGCCCACCGTTCCTTGTGGGGTTTCTGAAGTTAAAAATCTTTACAGGACCAAACCACCTCATCTTCCTCCTGCAGAGCGGCTAGTGAGTTGGAGCCACCAACCTTGTGGTCAGCAGCCCAGTGCTTAACTGTGCCAAGAGGGCTCCTGCCCATGGCTTAGGTCTCCTACTTACATCTAAAGTGCTCTTCGTGTGTCATTTCTGCTGCTGCCTTCTTTAGTTGGGCATATATCTGTAGTAGAGTGATAAAATTAATATTTAGTTCAACATGGACTGTCGGTTCACTTTAAAATGCTATTCTCCTTTTTACAACCCTTAGTTTATAAAATTTTATATAATGTTTTTCTTAATGGGTAGCTCCTAGAACTGATTTTTTTCATCTTTAAAGGAGTCCTGGGAGCTTAGTGGGCCACGAGGTCAGTGGTTCAAAGTCACCAGCTACTTCACAGGAGGAAGATTCGCCTTTCTGGTCTTGTAAGGATTTGCAGTTTCGAAAACCCCTCTCCAGCCTTGGCAGGGCAGTAGGACAGAGACAGTTCCACTCTGTCCGATAGGGCCACTCGCTATGAGTCCGAAATGACTTGATGGCAGTGGTCGGGATTATTTTTGGAATCTGTAAGGTGGTTGAGTTATGGCACTGAAAAGGAAAGAGAGTGTTTCAAGCTATTTTGTCATAATAAATGGATCTCTTAAAAATTTCATAATTTCTTTCTTTTTTTAATGTCTTATGAAGATTTATTTGTGTTAGTAATGTTAAAATCTTATTCCATAGTCATCCGTCCAGCGAGCTTTCAGCAGGAAGCAGCATGGTTGTGATCGTTACAAATCCTGGGGGGGGCAAAAAAGATAAAATATCTCATAATTTCTAAAAATGCTTATTTTCTGTGGTCAACAGACGGAAACACTTGTAAACTCTTACGGTACTTTTGACTAGATCTCAGTTAAGCCAAACCAAAACCTGTGTTATCAAGTCCCATTCTGACTCAAGCATTCCCGCAGGACAGAGCAGAGCTGCCCACCGCTTTCCAAGCTTGTAAAATACCTGGTGTCAACACCTTTCTCTGGCCCAGTGGCTGGCGGTGAGATCGAACTCCCGTCCTTTTGGTGAGCCCCTGAGTGTTTTAACCATTACACCACTAGGTCTCAGCGTTCAATAACCTCACATCATTTACATGCAGATATTTATTTGGAAGAAATGCACAGTGTCACATTGCGGCATACGCCATCTGTTTCTGATAAGTGTTGTTCTAGCTCCTGAACAAGTTTGTGATACAAACCTTGCTCATCCTTTTCAGGTTATCACCAATCTCGTGAAAATGTTGAAGTCCAGAGATACCAGAAGAAACTTCTGTCCTCCAAATCACTGGCTGTCAGAGCAAGAAGATATTAAAGCAGATAAGGTGTTACTGAAAGATCTTTTTTACTATTGTTTGTTAAATTTTTTTCAGCTTTTATCCTTCTCAGAAATGCATTCTTTACAATTATTTTTAATGGTTACTTATTATGAAACTAGACCATTACCTTAAATTTTTTTTACTAAGTGTTAAAGAACCCATAGTAACTATAGCAAAGACACAAAGTATCTTTACCTTTGTTGTTAGTGTATGACTGGGTTTGTTGTGGAATTTTAGGGTTGAGGATCAAAGGATGATGGATGGATGGATGTGTGTAAACACTTTAAAGTGTGTTTTTAAAGACTTTCAGAAGCATTAATATGTTCTCATGATGTAGTTTCTCTTTAAGTATGTCTTTTTAGCTCTGCTTCCTGAGAGGACTAGAAATAAACCCGGGGGTGGTGAACGCCTCTAGGTCCCAGATTGTGGCCCCTTAAACACACTTTCCCCTGAAAAATGACTCATGTTGGATCCCGGGCGGGGATGTGCAAGATGAGTCTGGCTGTTCTCTCCTACAAGAAAGCAAGGGAACCAAAGGCGAATCGAGTTTTGTGAAAGGGCTAGGGGCCAACTGGAAGGGGCCTCATTGTTCAAAGGTGAACGATTTGAGCATCAGTTTGGGGGAAAAGCCATAGACAAAAATCACCAAATAAGTTTAAATCTACGAGTACACTAAGACGCTAACAATTTTTTTTACTTCATTAGTTTGTTTTGTAGCAGGCAAAGGAACTACCTCATTTTTTAATACTCGATTTGAAAGAGTCAGCATTTATCAAATCTTTCATTTATGAAATGAACTTTAAACAAGGAAGACATGGTGTGACACCATTGTGCGGTCTGAATGACAGCCGGACCCCAGGCTGGCGTGGCTGTGGACTGTGTTGCTGTGCTCCAGATGGCATGTGGTGGGGCCTCGAGAGAGAGGAGCTTGTACCGAATATGAATCACTGGACGATGTCTTGTTCCAGGAAGTCTTATTATGGGGGGAAAAGGTCACTTGAACCAAGTGTTACGTTTAATGACATGTTGAGACACGTTTTGACACAAGTTCGTTATCTCAAGTTCTGAACCTGTCACCATTTACAGACCTGTGCTTGGAGTAGTATTAATGTAAACAAGGGCAAGCCAACACTATGTGCCCCTTAATGATAAAACTACCTAAGAGATTTTATTGTCAAGAACATGGAATGTCCTTTATCAGACTACTGGCTCTAGTATCAAAATACAGGGCTCTGGGTCCATGATATTTAGCACCATGAGAATGCAATTAGCAAATACCAGATCTGGGAAATTTTAAGGGACAAGGGATTCTGTTTCTATACAGAATGAAATTCCAATGAGGAACAAATAAGAATATGGGGGATCTACTAATTCATCAGAAACATAAGAGATAGCATGAGTTGTATTGCACCAACCTCATTTGGATCCTAATTCAAATAAGTTGGTTTGGTTTTTTTTTAATCAGATACTGGATATTTGATCATTTTTAAGTGGAATATAATCGCTAACGTCATATTTTACTGAGTATAGGTACATTTATATGCTAAATTGCATGAGTTTCCATTTGGATGTATTGGAAAAAATTAATTCAATGTAAAGTTATAAAAAGACACTTAGCATGGGAGACAGGGCATGAAAAAGTAGCCTGTAAGAAGCAGGACCAGCATCCGTCAAAGCAAGAGACCTGTAGAACTATAAGTTTAAAATGTCAGGTCTGTTCAAATATGACACTTCAAGCGTTTGGAATAGAGCAAGGAAAAAGTACTAAACTAGGATTGATAATCTCATAGGTCACCCAACTTTATGTACCATCATCCAGAAATGTGTGGAGGTTCCGACGAATGGGAAGAATAGGTCCATTACAGTCTACCCTGGATGGTGAGTTCTGTACTGGCTTTACTTTTTCAGTTTACTCTGGTTATTGGAAGTATACTTTAAATTTTTCTTTGTAGCCTTGGTACAGTTCTAATCCCCCTACCATAATCAATCATATAGAATAATATCATTACCTCCCCCTCTCCCAGACTTTCCCATGTGTTCTCTTGTTGCTAGTCCTCACCACAGCTACTGATTGGTCTTTTTGTCCTTAGTTTGCAATTTTCAACATGTCTTTGTGAGGCCACCTTGTATCTGTTGACAGAAGTTATTTCTGCATATGCTCCATATATATCCATAAATATAGTTAAACATAAACGGAGCAAAGCTATGAAAAATTCTTAGTCATAACCAGACCCCTTGAGAGAATGAGGTGATGCCCCTAAGGGCTTACAACCTTAGTCTCTGGACACACCAAGGTCCAGTGGCATTACCTAGTCCACAAAGACAATGTTCTGTATCCTACTTTTGTGGGTAGTAACTGGAGTCCTGAAAGCTTGTGAGCAGCTATTTATATTGAAATTCCATTTCCCACCAACATTTGAAACCACTTGTCTATATTCATGGGTTTAGCCCTATTCTCCCGCATGTTTGTGTTTCCACTTACAGATTATGGGCTTTACTGTAGGATTTGTGTATATACAGGGATTTACCTGTTGCCTTTCATTTTTGTACTCCTCCCAAGTTTTCCTTTGACTTGTCATAGTTTGTTCCCCCTTACTATATATTACCTGCCCTATCAACCAGGTTAATGTGTCCACCCTCTAATTAATGAATAAATGAACAAAACAATGTAGTTGTTTTTAGAAAGTGATAACAAAGTTTAAAGATGAGACAACTTATTAATAACTTTTGGTTAAAAGGTTGTAATGATTAAATCACTCTACCATTTTTCTAAAACATAGGTTCCAAAATTTGCTTGGCCTACCTTCAGGAAAAAAGAGTTACTCAGCACCTCCCTGATGATTAAAAACATGTACATTCTAGCCAATAATCCAAGATAAAGGGTAGATGTTTACTTCTGCAGCCCCACCCTGGGATCATTGCCACCCACTGTGGGAAACACTGCTTTAAACGTATTCTCAAGAAATACTAGGTTCCCGGTGACACAATGGGTTAAGGATTAGACTGCTGATCCTAATTAGGAAGGTCAATGATTTGAACCCAAAACCAGGCATCTGCTTCAGAAACCCTAAGAAGCAGTTCTTATCTGCCCTACAGGGTTGCTGTGAGTCTGAATGAACTCAATGGCAGTGGGTTTGGTTGGGTTTAATTCAATTTGGGTTGCAATGCCTATGAATTAAACTCTGGCAATGTTTTATTTTTTTAATATATATGCAAAACACTTTCTAAAGATCAGTTAAAAGAAAGCTAGATTGTGACACTGAGAATGGTATACTCAGGTCTGGCTAATTGTAGGCCTTACCCTCTTAACTAAGTTACTTACCCTCTCTTCCAGAAGGTTTAATAAAGGACTAAGAAGGTAGGGTGCTGCCTTAGTGTGAAATCTTTAGTATCAGCTAAAGGTGTTTGAGTCTTGTTTTTATGTATTAGAAGAGGCATGTAGGACTTTAACATGGTCAGGCAGTGCCTGACTGATGGAATGACTGCTCCGATCCTGTGGTTGTAGGTTTTCAGTTGGGCCAGAGGGGTAGTGGATAGGCCAGGAAGGATGGATTCCTAGAATGAGAGTCTTTAGAATGATTGTACAAATCCTGGCTGCAATAAGTGGCAGGAGAAAAGGGAAAGCAACCCGAGATTAACTAATTAAAGCTTTAAAATCTTTTGTAGTGGGTTTGGAGTCACCGCCACTCACTGTCTCTGAGGAAAGACAGCTTGCCATTCTAACAGAATTGCCTTTTGTAGTGCCCTTTGAGGAGCGTGTAAAGGTATGCGGTTTTGCTTCTTTTGTAGGTTATGTCATTGTTTTAAGATTATTTTTAATCTTAATGTTAATCAGTACATCATCAACAAGAAATTTCTAACATTGTACTTAGCTAATTATGTGTATTTTTGTCTCGCTAAGTATGTGTGTTTTTCTCATTAGATTGTAACTGCTAATAATGATTTACAAAAGCTTACGCCACCCATGTTTCATTGTACTTGTACAAATTTATAGTTGTAATTTGTGAAAAGGCCTGTTACACTATAATTTTTTTAATAATGGGGTACAAAGACCTTTTTTCCAAGGAAGTCTTGCATTCTTTCAGAAAATGCAAAAAATTGTAAAGCCATGCACATACTGTTATATATTCAGATTGAAATAATTTAACACAAACATTATTTTATTAAAAAAATAGTTATTTTTTAGAGCAGTTGTAGGTTCACCAAAAACAATGCAGGAAGTACAACGTTCCTGCATACTCTGCCCTTCTGCACTTTATTGGAGAAATGTTTTGTTTTTATTCTCCAAGTTTCTATAGCAAGTCTGTGAACTGTTCTAGGCTGTCTTCTTGGGTAGTGGATTCACAGGGCTATTTGTACAGGCTCGCCTACTGTGTTTTTAGGGAGAAACAAAAGGTGAATTGCTTTTGAAACTACTAATGATTCTTCATTCACAGACAAGGACACATATGCTCACAAACAGTGTCGCATAATTCCTGAGCTCCCTCTGCTGGATTTTTAGCATCAGTTATTTACATTCAACATCATAGAGGCATTCTCACTAATGTTTATATAGACTATACTGTAGCATGGAAATTTTTTAAACTTTGTATAATGAGGAAAAGAGCAATTTTATATAGGGATATGCATTTATTTTTAAGAGAGGCAATTGATACTTGGGCAATTCAAATTCATTTGAGAATTTGTGGATACATAAATGCTAAAATATACTTAAAATTTTGGAACACATTTTATAATAAGTAGCTTAGTGCTTCTAATAACCTTACAACTTTTTTTGTTTGTTAGATTTTTCAAAGACTGATTTATGCAGATAAACAGGAAGTGCAAGGAGATGGTCCATTTCTGGATGGTATTAATGTCACAATAAGAAGAAATTATATTTATGAAGATGCTTATGACAAACTTTCACCAGAAAATGGTATATATGCTTCTCTCTTTGTATATATAAATGGCAGGGAGACTGGAGAATTATTTGGAAAAAAGGTGATCATTAAAAAATTAATGTATACCGTTTTGTTCTATAATGATCTTTTAAGTATTTTAAAAATCATTTTATTGGGGCCTCTTACAGCTCTTATAACATTCCATTCAGCAATTATATCAAGCATATTTGTACATATGTTGCCATCATCATGTCCAAAACATTTTCTACTTTAGCCCGTGGTATAAGCTCCTCTTTTTCCCCCACCCTTGTAAATTCTTGATAAATTATATATTATTATTATTTTGTATCTTACACTGTCCGTTGTCTCCCTTCACCCATATTTCTGTTACTCATCTCCTTGATGGTGGGGTGGGGGGGCTATATCCAACCTTATAATGGGTTCCCTCTTTCTCCCCCTACCCCACTCCACATGGCCATTCCCCTACCCTCATGATATCAATCACTACTCCCACTACTGTACTCTAGGGGTTTATATGTCCTGAATTTCATGGCCAAGAGCTTTTATCTGTACCAGTGTGTGTTCTCTGCTTTGGAGGAGGAAGCATTCAGGATCTAGAGGAATGATGTGGGATTTGTCAGTGCTATACTGCACCCTGGTTGAATCATCCCTTCCTGTGACCCTTCTGTGGAGGATATTCAGCTGTCTACAGATGGGCTTTGAGTCTCCATTCCAACACCCCTCGTTTGCATCAATATAGTTGTTTCTTTTGGATCTTTTTATACCTAATCCGGTTGACACCTCGTGATCACACAGGCTGGTGTGCTTCTACCATGTGGACTTATTTGCTACCCTGCTAGATAGTTCTTATTTTTTTAAACATTTTTTTTATGTAATAAAATATTTTTAATAAAATGGGCCTTCATAGCCATTCTTAAAAAAGTAATATTAATGACATTCACCATTTGTACAATGGTTATCACTCTCTCCAAATCTATACTGGTTTATTAAAATTGGAATGTGACAGGTCAAATTTGGAGGTAAGCATCAAATAATCTAGAAATTTTGAGAGAATCCTCTTTAAATGATTAAGACAAAAGCTTTTTAAAAATATCTTTCTAAAATTTAATTGATAACTTATCTGTAAAAAATTTATAGGCACTCATACTATCTTTTAATTCCATTTTTCTGTGAACTTTTTGAAGCCCTTTTGCATAAGTATCATAAATTTGAAACCAAATTAAATTATTAAAGTAGATGCTATTGTACTCTAAATTTCTTTATAAAGGGATATAAATGTGCTTCCTTGACAGTACTTGTAGATAAAAGAGAATTATATTGTAACATTAATTTGGGCAGCTTTTAGAGGTCAATGACACATGTTTCGTCTTATGTTAATATTTGGCATTCGTGTTAAAAGTTTTAGTATAATTAATACCATACCTACGATCTTGCATTAAATCACTGTTGAATCTTTGAAAAGAGAATAAAAGTGAAAGCTTAAGAATCAGGATAAGGTCCTTGAGAGAGTATTTAAGATAAAGTTTGTCAGGTGTAAATTGAACACTGGGAAAAAAACCACAATAGATGTGACAAAACATAATGAATTCACAAATAATCAGCATAGTACTGAGTACCACGTGTGAAAAGAAGAGTGGAATTTAGTGGTTATTGAAATGTTAGGATTCTGATTATATTGAATAATAGAAGAGTTGAATTACTGGTGAAATCAGAGAGGGCACAGGCATCCACTTATTCTGTACGTGGTTTGCAGTGGCTTCCTGTGAGCCCTACAGCCCTAATGCGAGCATACGCTCATGTATCAACAGCTTCACGTTAATTTTACAGCTATTTCATATAGACGGTTTTTCTTAGGATTCTACAATTTTAAGTTTCCAATGAGTCCTCCCCTCTGTTGTTTTTAGATGCCACAGGGTGACCCCAGGTGTTAACTGAGTAGACCTGGCCTAGAGTCTTCTTGGCTGGAACCTTTACAGGGACAGATCAGCAGGTCTTTCTCTCACAGAGCTGCTCGGTGGTTTCAGACCACCAGCCTTGTGGTCAGGAGCTACCTGAGTGTTGGGCCACCAGGGTTCCTTAATGAATCCTGAAGCTGTCAAAATTATTATTCAGAAGTATAATCATTATTTGATTGTTTTTCCATGAACGTTTTGAAGCCCCCTGATATATATGTGTATGTATGTGTGTGTATATATATAAATTAATATAAATATTCAATATAGCATCGATTTATTAAAGCAAATCCATCCTTGAGTGATCTTTATCTCATCATCTTCAGAACAGTTTCATGGAGTGTAAATATCAGTCACATTTTGGAAGTGTGGTGACCAAGTGAAGCTCAGAGAAGCTAAGTGAGTTACCCGCTCTTATGCAGGTCGTCTCGTGACACGACAGAGTAGGAGTCAGAATCCATTTCATGGCAGCTAGTCTTGTTTTTCTACTCTAAAGCCCCCAGATCTATATGGCTTTTCTGTGGTGTCGGTCTGTCTTACTTCAATATTTTACTTGTTTTAGAACATGGTTTTGACATTGACATCTCCGTAAATAATCACATATACTCAAAGGATTGTTGTAAGAATTAGACATTAATGTATGTAATGCAATCCTGTGCTTCCAAGTGAACTTTGGGTCTTGTTCACTGTAATAGTTTCAGTATGACAGTACAGTAAAACTAGTTCCAAATTGTACTGCAGTAGTTTAATTTGGGGGATTTTGTTATTTATGTTTTTGTTTATTGGTTCAGTTTCTTTCTTTCTTTGGACAGAATTGGTTAACATTATTTTCATGAAGAATTGGTAGTAGGATAAAATCTTATTAATATTTTACTTAAGTATTTTCACTAATATATAGGTAGGAATTTCTAACTTATTCATAGGTTTATACTCACTGCCATCCAGTTGACTCTGACTCATAGCAGCCTTATAGGACGGCCTGGGAATGCTTCTGTGGGTCTCTAGGCAGCAAATTGTAGAGCCAATAATTTCCTTCTCTCCCTTCCTCTCTCTTGTTTCTCAGCCAAAGAGAATTTTTTAAAAGACGAGGTAGATTCTGGATTACTTAGATTTCTAAGAGTTCCATTCTTCTATCATTGACCTCTCTCAGAGGGGTCTTTGTAACATCCTCTACTCAGTTTCTGCTTTGGGCCTTAGTAAAATCTTTGTGGCCCTTATCTATCATGGCCTTCAAAATATATGGGATTTTAATCTCTTTTTCAAGAGTTCTATTGGCATGTAATTCACATATACAATTCAATAGTTTCAGTTACATCAATGAATTGTATATTCAACACCACAATCAATTTTAGAACATTTTATTTATTCTTGTGCTCATTGTTATTACCCCATTTCCTCTCCAACCTCCCCTGCCATACCCCAAGGAACCATTAATCCAGTTACCGTTTCTATAGATTTACCTGTCCTGGATTTCATATACAGAAATAGATTAAAAAACAAAATAAAAAACTAACAACCAAAACCAAGTAAACATAAAAATCTCAATTGAAAGGGAAGCAAAAGATAATAAAAACTAGAACAAACTTAAAATAGATCCTATGGAGAGCAAATGATGGGGTGCTAAATTTTAGCCTCACTGCATCTGCCACAATCCACTTTCTAGTGCATTCTTCATGTTGGCAAGGGGGTGCGATCACAGTGCCGTAGTCACGTGTAGTTTCCCTTCACATTTTTTTTCTTTTAAACAGAAACCGCTTTATTCTTTCTTAAGCATGCTCCCTTTCTCTCTCTCTCTCTCTCTCTCTCTCTCCCCCATTATAGATGCTGGGGGAAATCTTGGGCAGACAAAAATGCTTGTCTCTGTTTGATCACATTCATGTTTTGAGTCCACTGCATAGAAGTGTCTAATATATTTTCCCTCTCTAAGGCTCATTATTATACCAATTTAATTCTGTCTTCAGAAATCTTTTCTGTTTACCCCTTTCTTCCTTCCCTTTTTTGACAGAGCCTGACTTGAAAAAGCGGATCCGTGTGCACTTACTCAATGCCCATGGCCTGGATGAAGCTGGCATTGATGGTGGTGGGATTTTCAGAGAGTTTTTAAATGAACTACTGAAATCCGGATTTAACCCCAACCAGGGATTTTTTAAGACTACTAATGAAGGACTTCTGTATCCCAACCCAGCTGCTCAGATGCTTGTTGGCGATTCCTTTGCCAGACATTACTACTTCCTAGGCAGAATGCTTGGAAAGGTAAAGTAATCTCTGTCTTTAAAGAATGCATCTCGGACTGAGCGATGGTGACGTTTTGTTGTTTAGTGTGGCTGCTAAGGTATTTTGTGTGTGTGAGTGTCTGTAATTCAAACTGTGATTGGGTGAATTCTGAATAGCATTTATTTACATCACTACATTTCATCATGATAATTGCATACATCAAACAAAAGGTAGGAAACCTTGTAAATTCTATTGTAGCAGTTTTATCATGGTTACCTGCTAGCATAGGTTTGCATATTGTAAATACTTTAAATCCTCTCACAGTTGTTTTTATTGATAGAGTGATTGTTGAGATTCTGTAAACATTTAAAGTATCGTGAGATGGAAGACTAAATCTGTATATATAACAATCTGGTTTAGATGTTAAATTTGTTGTATGTAAGTTCTATGAAAATTGGTCATTAAAGAATGTTGTTGTGGTAATGCTGTATAAACCAGAATGTCATATTCTCCAACCATCTCTACAAATTAGAGTTATCCTTTCTTATGAGCGAAAGAATAAAAATTTAGTCTATAACCTCCTAGAAACATTTTAACAGTGGCACTTTCAAAGCATTAAAGTCAGGAAGAAGACAAGGATACCCAGTGATGCCAGGAATGGCCATCATCAAGCTAGTGGTTCTGGCCTGTGGGAATGCCATAGGTGGGGACCACTGGGCAGCTTGAGTGAAACATTGATTATCGTGCAAACGGAACTGCAAGGGGATGTAGGCAGGATATAATGATAGAATCATAATGTAGTTCTAAAAAGATTGCTTTACTACTGGTGGCATATAGGACAAGACAGAAGGTCGGTATTCTGTTTCAGGGATTGGACAGTAGGAGTTGGGAAGAGAGGAAGATAGATGGGAAGAGGACCAGATAGATCTTCGAAGAGTTTCGTGGCAATTAGTTGTGGGTGGTCGGGATAAGGAAAGAGTGTAAGACTCCTCTCTGACTTTGGTGGTTGCGTGGTAAGAGACACTCTGAAGAGAAGGGTAACGGGAAACTTGATTGGACCATAACTCATTCGTGTAACCTGGATATTAGAAAAATTGGGAAAGTGTGTCTTTAATGATTTAAGTTAGTGACAAAGAAAGAAGTACGTGGAGGCAAAAAGTAGGGTTAAAAGATAAGACAGCTGAAAAGTAAGCTCTGGGAAATCGCTCCATTTGAGTTGGGCTGGGAGAAGAGCTAGCAATGTAAATGAAACATGTTGTGAAACCTAATCCTTTTTTCCCTGCTACCACCTCTCCTGTCTTTTATGCGGAACATTGAGTTAAAGCTATACATTGCAGGTCTTGATTGTGCTTTTTTTTCTTTTCTGGTGATGGTGGATTTTGTATTTTTCCCTAATCCTACTCCAGTTGTTTAATGGTGCTGTCTTAATTTTTAATACATAATTGCTTTGGGTTAATTTTCATTTTTATTTAGAAATCTTATATCTGTGTTCTTCGGTGGCATAGTGATATATTTCTTCTGCCTATGCTGTTGCCTGGTCTGAAATAAGATTTAATGCCAAATACTCATCTAAAGGGGAAAATTACAGAACAGAATAAATTCTAATGAACTCCAGCCTTCTTGGAGGCACGAAAAAGCCAGGTGATTTCCAAAACTATTGCCTTCAGATAATCCTTAAACCTTAAACCAAAAAGATCCCCTAAAATCATTTTCAGATGCAATGATAAATAGCTTACCTAGTAAAAAATGTCTAATTTGAGTATTTCACTCTTTTAAGAATTAGGAGACTACCTTGCAAGTCTGGCTAGACCAGAGAATGTACACTGGTACAGATAGAGACTGGAAATACAGGGAATCCAGGACGGATGAACCCTACAGGACCAGTGGTGTGAGTGGTGATACAGGGAGGGTAGAGGGAGAGTGGGTTGAAAGAGGGAACCGATTACAAGGAACTATATGTGACCTCCTCCCTGGGGGGGGACGGACAACAGAATAGTGGGTGAAAGGAGACGTTGGACAGGGCAAGATATGACAAAATAACAATTTATAAATTATCAAGGGCTCATGAGGGAGTGGGGAGGGAAGGGAAAAATGAGGACCTGATGTCGGGGGTTTAAGTGGAGAGGAAATGTTTTGAGAATGATGTACAAATGCGCTTTACACAATTGACGTGTGTATGGCTTGTGATAAGAGTTGTATGCGCCCCTACTAAAATGATTTTTTTTTAAAAAAGAATTGGGAGATTAAATTGACAACAGCAACATGAAAAATTAGATAGGCACTTGAAGGGGCAGTGAGTTGATGGAGCAGCAACTCAGAACAGGAAGGTGAGAATGCACAGCTCAATATAATCCTTGTCCCTACGTGGTACATGGAGAAACTGTTCAATTGGTATATATTTTGCTGTATATATTCTCAATAACGTGATAGATACAAAATAGAAACAAAGGCTACCAAAGTCCATTGTTGTCAGGTTAATTCCAACTTATAACGACCCTACAGAATCCCTAGGATTTCCAAGGTTGTAGATTTTCACAGAAACAGACTACCTGAGTGGTGTCTTTCTGCCCTAAAAATCCTTCTGGCTGTCGTTGTAGTCCCAGAGCTCTAGGAGATGTTACACTAATTAAGAAAACCCAGCAGAGGGAGTGCTGTGTTGGAGGGAAGAGAGCTGGTGTCAGATAACAGAGAAGGGGAAATGGAATTAATCTCTATGTCTTGGGGATTTGGCTCCTAGGGGTCCTTTTCAAGAATTACTAGCATTTTAAAACTTTTACATCTACGCGTATATGTCTGGGGCATTTTGTTTTATTTTCTTTCTTCGCAGTTTAAATTTAGTGTTGATAATTATTCTGGAAGAGCACAGTTAGTATGTATTGTAAATCAGTCATTGGAACGTATGTCAAAGATGTTCTAAGTAGCAGGTGTAAAAAAACAAATGTTGAAGTTTTAGTAAAGTTAGTGCTCCTTGAATTTTCTTTAAGTACAGTCACCGCCCCAATAGTAATTGTATGTGACAGAGAGCATTGGCAGGGATGGCTGAGATTCCCTTAGTATTTGAACTCTGCCTGCCACATACCCTAAAATTCCTGTCTGAACAAGAGCTCACTTAGTGTACATTACGAGTATGGGTGCAGGAGAAGAGAGTGCGGTAATCAGTCTCTTGTTTTATCGATTGCTCATATGTAGATGAATGGAATGTTCTTCCTATCCCCATCTTCACCCTTGCCCCAAGGATTCACCTCATGGCTCTTAGTATTTGCTTTAGCCCAACAGCCTGGGTCCCATTGCAGACAGTAGGTCCCCATCAAAATCAAAGACTTTTGAATGTAGAAGCATTCTATTAAATTACCTTAATTGCAGATAGTCTTCTTTAAGCATCTAGGCACAAAGATCAAATCACCTTTCTGGCCCCCCAAAGGGGCTTATAAGAGGCAAACAATTCATGCTGCGTAGACGTTGCCAAAAGGAGCATCAGTAAATATTTTAAACTTTAAGGGCCATCTACTCTGTTGCATATTCTCCTTTTTCACTGCAGACTTTCGAAATGTCTTTTTAAAGGTGTCAGAAACACTCATAAACTCTCAGGTGTGTTGATCCCTGCACTCAAAATAACAAGTGAAGACATAAAATGGTCCCTGCTGATAGTGCTGCTTATTGGGTGGCTTCTCGGTGTGATAAGGATGCAGGCAGTGGTAAGATATGGTTAATGATTTAACTCTACAACAGCGTTCCTGTTAACGCTTCTTCCTAACCTCTGAATTACTTCTTGATTGTAAGAGAATACTTTCTTTTTTTAAATGCATAGTTTTCTACTCTTAATTGTTTTAATCAGGGTTTGCTTGACGCTTTAAATGATTTACAAGATCATAAGATTAATATGCTTGCAAAATATCTTTTATTCATCCTAACAATTTCAAACTATTGTATCTATTAAAAAGTCACACTGTAATCATTGACTTAATGAGCACCGTTAGACATTTAAACTTATAAAACATGTTTAAACTAATGGAAGTCTATTTTTCATGTTTCATGTACTAGAGTTTACCCTAAAACCTGATTTTAAAATAATTGAGATTCTAAATGTTTGAAAACTCTGTAGAAAATAGAGACCAGGTTTTTCATTTATTGACTGTGAACTAGACAATTGCAGTGACATTGAGCCTGAGAGGTAAATTAAATGTGTGCAATACATAAAGCTAAATATTTAGAGGTTAGTTTTAACTGGATTTATCATGTTAAATAAAAGAAATAGGAAATACTGCTATGGTGATTTTTTTAAATATAAAATTAAAAGTATAATCATTTTCAACTTTAATAAAATATGTTATGTCGCATGCTTGTATTTTTCTCTGTAGTACATATTAAACAGTCTACTACTGTTCACCTTGGAGTGTGGTACATGCTGTTGCTCATTTAAGCAGCCACTAAATTAAAGTCAGTGCCTGTGAAGCACAGTGCACAGTTGTTATTTAGATAAACAACTCTAATGATGTATAATTTACATTCCATAAAGATTGAGCACTTTAAAATATAGTTAAGTAGTTTTTAGTATATTCAGCAAACTGTGTAACTATCACCACTATCTTAATTTTAAGGATTCATAAAGAAACCCTTTATCAATTACCAATCACTCCCCTTTCCACCTAATCCTCTTGGCCTAAAGCAGCCATTAATCCACTTTTTTGTCTCTATGAATATGCTTATTGGACATTTTATATCAATGGAATCATAGGACATGTGACTCTTGGTGACTGGCTTCTTTCACTGACCATAGTGAATCCAGGGTCCATCCATGTTCCAACATGTACCAGTCCAGCCAACTCTCCATATCCATGGTGGCCAGTCAGTAGTTAATCTGTCAGAGCAAACCTTAAAGGTTAAGAAGGAGCTAAAACGTGCTCTTTATATTATTAGCCCAGCACCTTCATTGAAGAGACCATTGTTTCCCCCATTAAGTGAAGTTGGCACCCTAGTTTAAAATCAGTTGACCATAAATATCTGCATTTATTTCTAGACTATTCCATTGACTTACACAT